AGACGAGCTATTGCGTCACGTCAGACATTTAATCATAACCTAGAACCATGTGGGGAAACTGATTTAAGATGGATCTCAAAATCAAATGCAAAGTTCTTATGACTTTTAAGTTTTAATTAATTAATTTGATTTAATTTATAATTAAAATAATAATTTAAAGAATACATTTAATTAACGAATTCCAATACATGATCCTCTATTTTAATTTTAATCTGTGACTTTGATTAAAAATTCACAGATCGAAATTTGTGATTGTGCATCACAGTTCTCCAGGCGCAGAGATTTGATAAAGCAATTTTTCCACTACGCTATTTGTCGATGTAGCCTGGTTCTCTACGAGTTTTAATTTTGTAGATTTTTACAACATCCATCTAGTGCATCTACTTGTTAATCATCGTTTCTGTAATTAATAAAGGAAATTTTTAAACTTATAGCCCAATATCTCCAGAACCACGCTATGTCAGCTTACGGCGTAAAGAGGGAAACAGTTCAAAATAATTGACTATACTTCAATCAATTGTCAAATCGCAACGCATTCGAAGCCGTTGCCGTGTTGAGACTTAAGTTCATTATTGTATTAAGATAGATGTATTCCATATACGTCAGTTAACGAAGAGTTCCTAGAACATATTCAGTTATCATTCGGGTGGCTGAGTAAAGTTAGGGAGGTACGAAAACTACAGAATTAATTTATCTGATCTGATCTGATGTCCAGGCGACCGTCGTTTCAGTAGTTGAATGATTGATATGTGAAATGTTCAGTCGGAAATTAAGAAGTGGGAACACGCATAATCTTTCATTTAAACTGAAATATAAATGAAACATGTAGTGAATATAATATGATATATATTAAAAGCGCTTACAATGTAATGAAGTAATTGTAAGCGGTAATAAAAAAAATTCTTTTCACATAAATTATTTCAATTTGATCACAGTCGTTTCTGACTTTTCTAACATTTAAAAAAAATTATTTCGAAAAAGTGTTATATTTAATTATTATATATAATGACATAGGAAGTTATTTATTAGCAACTTTCCGGTTCAATAAGTCAAAATTTCAAAAAGTCAATATATTTTTAGATGGTATTTGATACTCTCTTTATGCAATATTAAGATTTGATAAGATCAGTGATAAACACCACTATGAACCTCAAGAACATCGCAAAATTCACTAATTTTGCAGAAAGTGAGTTGTAATTAATGGTACTATATATATATTATCTTTCATGTATAATTTATATCTTCTGTCTTTAGCTAAGACTTTATTCTTTTTGCAATTTACGAATACGTTCTCTCCTTCATGGAAAAGCTAAATGCTGCTGAACGCAACTATTGTGCCTCAGATCAGGAACACTGCTAAAAATATTCGATAATTTTCGTCAAATTAGTTGAAAATAAATATCTCTCCAAAACATTACGTTGCATGTAGACTAGAATAGCATGATCTATTTCTTTTATTGTTTGCATATATAATAGATGTGCATACGAAAAAATATGTGTATATATCTCTGACATCCTATATGACACTTAATATGAGAAATGGAACCCCCATTTCCACATGATTTTCTTTTCTTAGATCAATAAATCAGTTCAGTAATTTACGGAGAGTAAAAAAGCAACGACCAGTGCGTACATATTCATATGTCGGACGCAAACAGAGTTGTTCGGATGTAAATGCTGTTATTGATAGTTAGATGAGACTGTTGTTATTTTATTAACAAATAAGTGGATAATGAATAACAGATAAAAAAAATCAGAGAAAAAGCAGAAAAAAAGTGTGATTCGGACATATGTGACTTTAGGTTGAAATATCCCATAAGTATTAACTCTGGTAAATTGTTCCAGTACAGTCTTCTATGTTTCTACCCTTCTAAATATTATTTTACTAATTTTTAATATATTGCTCATAGTAAACCCCGAACTGTCTGCAATTTATAAAATCATAAAAGCAAGTATTATAAGGCAAACATATGGAAAACAAAATACGAATTTTGTTCAAATAAAATCTTTTAGCAATAAAGTAATTCCTGAAATCTTCACGAAACGCACTAAACGTAAGCTCACAAAACAACAAGTGTCCAACTCTTTCAGAAAAGTTAGAGACAATTGTGAGAATGATGCCATCGTCATACTATTTTTAAGATCCTGATAGTAGTTCATGTGCAAAAATAAAGGAAACTGTCTACAAAAGCATTATCTTTCAAGATGACGATTTAATTGACATAGTCGACATTAACGATGTATGTATTGGTCCAAATGTGTACTCACTGTTCAACCAACAAGATATACACAGCTTGAATCAACGCAGTGACATACAGACGATTGTTAAATATATTGCTAATCCATCTGCAGTTATGTATAAAGAACTACATATGTACAGATATAGGGATACGTATGATTGCTCTACCATTTTCCAAAGGATCCACAACACGATAATCTCATATATTATCTTATATTATATTAGTATTCATGGTTCCTTGGTCAGGTAGCAGAAATGAGCGTCGCATGTAGGATTTTGTCGGCCAATGTATATTTTAATGAAGTTTTGTGTAAAAAATATATAATCCGGTTAGCTTTTTGTTTTACTTCTCATATTTAACTTGAATGCTAGTTATATTCTAATTTCCCAAAAATAAGTATTACATACAGAAAAACTAAAATTTTAGTTCAAAATTTTGATCCCTAATTTGGCAATTCCAACATTAAATTACTTCCTGAGTTCATATTTCAATGGTTTAGGACTTATAGATGCTTTTTACAATAAATTGTGATCAATGGAAAATATTAAAGTTCAATGCAAATACCAAACCATAACACCATCCAAAGGTAATCAACTCAATGAACTTTATCTGCTCATACTATTTTTAGAGTTTTTATGAACTTGTATATTTAATGTAAATTTAATATTTATTATAAATATGACCACAAATATTCTTTAGATAAATATTTAAATACTTGATTTTAACATGAAAAAATATAAAAGGGATATATATTTAATTACTGAGTACCCTTGTCATCTGTGCAGATAAATGAGAGCAGATATTTGTCCTTACTATTTCCTCATCCTGGAGCGCAAGAAGTTCCCAATTTCCTATAACTTGATAAGTGCATCATGATCTCTGTCACTGCATACTTCAAGCTGACACAGATCTTCTACAACTGCACTGCACCCTTGGTTGTGAATTCATTTCCCTTATTCAACCCTGAATATGGTTCATCATTGTTAAATATTGTAGATTTTTAATGGGTCTTGATTTTATATATTTGAGTACATATACACTATCTTTCTCTTTTCAAATAGAGTTTTTTTATAGTTTTGTCTTTTAAATTCTGTTAGAAAGTCTTATAAATTAAATTAAAGACTTTCTAACTTATTCTGACCTAACTCTATAGTTCACACCACTACACGCAAGGCCAGGTAATAGCAAGGAAACCTTTTTAAGATTATCCTAATAAAGTCTCACGAGCCGATAAAAAAAACCGCACAAGCAAAATGTCTGATTAAACTCGTTTCAGGAAATTTACCGCGACAAAAAATTTTTTTTGTATTATATTCCTGAAGATGCCTGGCTTTCCCCTAATCAACCAAGATGGAATCAAACTAATTACTACGTGGTTGACAACTTAGTTCTAATCAGTTAGACCTAACTTATCTTATCCTATCTTATCTTAATGTGACATATAGAATCTTACATCTTACATTCCCGCATACAGAGAAATCTTGATGTCACAAAGGTGCGATTATTAACTCTTCCAATGATAGACTGTACTCCATCTGTCTTAACTAAATCATATACATAAATGCCGTAGAGAGAATGAGTCTTGGAACTCATTTTAGTTTCCAGATTTTTGAATTTATTTGATTATTTTGGAAAATTTGATATTCTGCTGAGTGAAGATATTTGTTTACTTTTAGGTAAAAGAACTGCAAAAAAAGTTAACAAGAAATTCGAACTTCCATGCAAGCTAGAGATATCAGTTGTTCCTTCTATTTGTAATAAGACATTGATCAATGGCAAAAGCGAAAAATATAATTTACCGTTCTCCTATAAAAAAAACAAAAACTTTAAGGAGAAACAATCAAAAAATTCCAAAAGCGACATTTCATCAAATTCAAAATTTTCTGAAAAAACGAAGCATACATGTTCGGACAGTCTTCCAACTGTAGTAAAATTACCATTACCGGATCGACGCGGAAATGCTCCATCCAGCGGTTCTGCGGCAAACACTGTTCGCCCTCGCACTGGCACCTTCACAAGTCCAGGCACCAAGCCAAACCAAACCATAAACCGTACTAAAACTTTTGTGAAAAATAGAAAAATTGAGAAACCGAAGTCAAAACCAACTCCGCTGCAACCGAATAAGACTGTTGGTTCACCGCAACCTAAAAAATTCAATGTGAATTCTGCGAGAGACACCCACAAAGGCCAACTCAAATTTAAAACTGAAAATAATAAAATCAAACGCAATGAATTGAAAACTGCTACTAATGTGACTAATGACAATGCTGCCACACTTTTAAGAAGTGCGAATAATACTAAAATGAAGTCTATACTTTTGAACGATGTGAAAGCAGGTATAAATATATTGAATGAAATAACAAAACCCATATTAAGGAAGGAAGAAAAAAAAGAAGACGAAAAAGAAGTAAAAATCGAAGAAAAGAAAAAAGAAAGAAATGAAGGAATCAAAGAAGAAAATGATGAACAAAAGAAAGAGGAAAAGAATGAGACAAAAATAGAAAAAAAGAATGAAGAAAGTACAAAAGAAAACAAAGAAGAAAAAATTGCAGTAAAAAGAGAAGAAAAGAAGACAGAGAAAAATGAAATTAAAAAAGAAGAAAAGAAAGTAGAAAGGAAAATAGAAAATAGTACGGAAAAGAATGAAGAAAAAAAAGAGGAAAACAAAGTAGAAATGATTGAATTTAAAAAAGAAAAAAAGAAAGTAGAAGAGATTGAAGTTAAAAAAGAAGAAAAAAAAGTGGAAAATAAAGTAGAAAAGAATGAAGTTAAAAAAGAAGAAAAGAAACTAGAGCGGAAAACAGAACATAAAGTAGAAAAGAATGAAGTCAGAAAAAAAGAAGAAATCAAAGAAGAAGCACCAGGAGATACAACAAAAGAGAAAAAAGTTGTTAACTTATCCAATTCGAATTATTGGAATATCAAGCAAATAGAAAAGGAGCTATTCTCAGTGCTTAAAATTGATAAGGTAGATTTCAAGACAGAATGTTTACATAAACATAAGATACCTAACTATCCTTCCAATCCAATGACTTCAAACATACAAACCACGTGCCCTACAGCCAATAATCGTAATTCTACTAAAAGTGACACCACAATTAGAGTAGAAGAAGAATATTTCGAATCAACTACTGATACAGTAGTTGATGGAAAATCGCAAAAAAAACTTACACAGCAAAGAAGAGTAGTAGATTCTTTTAAAGATAATTCACGTGAAAATGGCGGCAAAAACACATCTATTCCGACTTTGGTAAATTCGAAACCATTTAAACCATTGACGGTATCGAAGAAAGTATTTCAGCCCACTAAAGCTTTAACACCAAAGGTATACGGAAAAAATACAACCACTACTACCGTGTCCGAAGTAAAATCTCAAAAAGCCGACACAGAACAGATAAAATGTCACAAATTTGTCACTACGCCTAAATGCCCTAAAACTGGGGTGCCAGAAACTCGTCACCCAAAAATGCACATGATAAGCAAATATGTGGCACCCTTAGGTAGAATATTTAAATTAGACAATAATGCAGCACATATCATCACGCAATCTAAACAAGCGGGAATGTGGCAAAGTTATAAATTGTCTTCTTTAGATCCACTCAGTAGAAAAGTTAAGGAACTAATAGTTGGGGAACAAAAAAACCTGGAAAGTAAAGTGGAAGAAGATAACGTGCACCCCAAACCGACAACATGTACTGCGCCGAATTCGGAATCTGTTTTTGGATATTCAGATAACTTTTTGCATAAAGTGTTCCAGCCTAATGTGAATCCATTCGAGAATCAGTGTTTAAAATTGGTACGCTTGGGTGTTCAGTCACACCCACAAAAAAGAGATCTGCATTATACACATATAACTGTAGATAAATTTCCACGTTCATCTTATAGACCTGATATATGCACTATAGAAAAGCTCGATCCAAATAAGACTGCAATATTTGAGGAAGAGGAGCGATTGGGCACATTGCAATGAAATGAGATATCTAAACCTGTTTCCAATGCAATAAAACGGATCAACTTCACACAATGGCTCTATAACTTGTTTTTCCATCTATACATGAGCACTTCATATTATATTGAAAAGTTTGTATTCTATATTCCAAGATGAAGGTAACTAACAATGAAAAAATTATTTTTAAATGGCATTAAGCGCCTCTTTTTCTTCGCAGCAACTGTTCGAATACCTCTCGATGGCATAAGAAAAGGTGACATCTCTTCATGCTAATTAAATTTGCAAAGCCAGCTATTCTGGAAAACTATTTCTCTTACGCTTTATGTAGTGCTATATATAGCTTAATTATTGAGACATTAAGCATTAAAGTTGGAAAATTTTACAAGGAAACGACCAGCAACGAGGAACGTGTCTAGCACCTAACACCTGGATCCCGGCAAAACATTTTGCTGTTATCAGTTGTTTATGAAATCATCGTACACAGTACACTGACTGGTTGGTGTTAGAAGACTTGTGTATTTTTTGTTAATGCAATCCATATAAAAAGTTTACAGCTTTAAACCTTGATATCTCGGGAAGTAAGCTATATTGATATTTAGCAAAGCGCAAAAAAGAGTTGCCCAAAATAGCTGATTGTATTAAAAGCCGTTGTTAGATCAGTGTGTTCGGAAAATCGGAATCGTATCAATGGTTTAGCTATGGAGTAAAATCGTTGGTATATAGCAGAGGTTCGCAAGCTATGCTGCGCGATACATAAGGTGGTCCGCAAGGAAGCCCCTGTGCTTCGTGGCAAGGTCAAATGATTACTTATTATGTATACCTTTTAGAGAAGTACAAGGAAGGATTAAATTAAATTTTCAATAAAAGGTGTTCCACCCAGAATTTCAAATTTTTAAAATTCTACGCCTTTGGCATAAAGAATGATTTGGTTTGTGGATAGAATAATTTCGTTGGTGTCGATAAGTAGCTGGTTTGTTCACAAAATGTGAAGCACAAAAGAACCTAAACAGAATAATATGTTTTAATTACTACAATAAATCAAGGTGACTAACTGGAATACCTATTTAGGGAAATAGTGACATGCCCATCAATTGTATATATCCATTGGACAAATCCTGTTTGCGAGCATTATTAGTTCCATGAAATTATTAAAGTCCTAGTCCCACTACCAATACCAATACTACTGCCATTAATTATTACGAGTATATTCCAGTTACAACCCGACTCCGCGGGGTTGTGGGTTTGCTAACAGCTTTTATTTATGTGTATTTGCTATTCCATGCACAAAGACCGTAATATTACGGTCTTCGCATGAGCATGACGATAGCATATACATGAACCATTTATAGCTAAAAGTTCGTGCTCGAGTGTTATGTTATTTTATGTCAGCAACCATAAAGTATTCCGATTTTTGAGTTTCGCACAGATCTGTGGTTAAGCAAAACACTAACTACGCCTAACTATGCTGATTTCACAAGCTTAATTTGCCAACAAGTAGAAGCACCATCTGACTTCTCTATTTTGTGTAAAAGTGTGCTATATTAGAATTCGATACCTCAAGAACGAAACCATATCGACAGAGTGTAGTCGAAAAAGTTGGTCTAAACACTGTCAAATCCGGGCACCCCGGAAATCAAAATTCTCCAATTCCTGTCTTCAAAAATCTGAAACTGATTTTGTCAGATTTTAATATATTATACTGGAGAAGATATTTTAATCATATAAGACTAAGACTAAATATATAGTTCTCTTCCAATGCAAGCATTGTGCACAAATGAATCATTCACTTTAATTGAAGAACTGCAAACTCATAGTGCCCTTCAAAAGATTGCTCTATTATTCCCGTCTCAGAGAAGCTGTATAGTCAATGCGAAGTGCATCAAGAAACAGTTAAATCCGATTATCAGTGCTACGCACGCAACAAATATTAAGTTTACATTACTCATAAGAATGTTAAGAGATGGTTGGAGAAGAGGATGTTGGATGAAGAGTTAAGAGATGTGTGGGTGATTTCAATCGTATTCGTACCATTTAAATCAATGAAGACATTTGGAAAATATGAATGATCGGACATGATTAGGTAAGTACTCTATGCGTTTAATACAGCATTTGGTGAGCAATGGTTCAGAGGAAGCAAGGGAACACAGCTTGTGCAAAGCCAAGAAGTAGCACGTTTTCAATGCTGTCAAAATTCGTTAATAGAAAATCAAGTTGGAGTCTAATTAATTTTTGTTGTAAAAAATACTCCCATATCGATTTTATGTGAAAATCGCACCAGCTAACCACACTGACAGACAACAACGAGCATTGAAAGAAAGAAGTCCATTTTCGTAAATCGAAAACATAATTTTTGTTTCTATATATTAGTATTCTTCAGACCTCGAAATGCAGGATGATTTGATATAATCCTTGATAACAAGAACCAAAATTGTGATTGAACTATGTCAGCGTAAATGCAACAGTGCAATTAAGTACTAAAATCTTATATTCAAACTTTATATTACTATTGTTATTTTAGTTATACCATAAGTTCTCTTTAATAAAATTCTTTGAACTGAACGGTAGTGTGCGGAACTTTCTATTTATTTCTAACAAACTAGAACTAGAACTGTGAACTGATTGTGAACTGAGTCAGTTTTGGACCTGAATGTTTTAATGGAATCAAGTGGAACCATTAACTTTGCAAATTTTGAATAAAAGAGTGGATACATCAATTTTTAAACCGGACTAATAAATTAGGGTATCGCAACATTTGAGCACTATATGTTTATATTCCATAGAAATTGTTTATTGCATATAGAAGTTGAAGTTTGCAGTCAGTTTCCACAAGTAACCAATAGTATTACTTCGTAGTAGAAGTAGAAAAATTATTGTGTATTTTCCTTTATTTCCCTAGCCTCAGTATATTTCGGTTCTACTTCTGCGATATGTCAGAAGTATTGGACCATATGTCCAATGTTGTTTGCTGGGTTTGCATCAGGATTTTTAATGGTATTTTTCCAGATACTTTCTCATCTGCTGCATCTTCGAGAATTCCTGCACAATATGGTCCTGTGGTCTTTTCATTACATGGGCTGGGGGCACCATCAAAGACCATGTGAGTATCATAACAAAAGAAAATTAAGTATAATTATACAAATATTTTTTGAACAAAATGGATTTTACGAGTACAGGTGAGATATCCATAAATCCATAAGTCTTATATTCAAAACTTTCATATTATTTTCTTCATTTATGTCACACTTTTTTTTCTATTACAAATATCAATTTTTGCAGACATTGTGTATGCGGAGAAGTCAATAACAATTTTCGCCTTAAAAGTTATATCAGAGTAGAAATTGTAATAGTTTCTCATTTATTAAAAGTAGGAACTAAGTGATTAAAAAACAGTGAAAACAGTTCTTCCTTGAAGCACTCCAGCCAATACCTCCAATTCTATTGAGATAAATTCGAATTTTTTGTTGACTATTTATAAATGGAGACTAGCATCAGGTTTCTGTGCCAGACTTTACCAAAAGCTTGAGTAACATTCAAGAATCCGCTGTAGTATTTTGTAGTATTTTGATCTGAAGGGGTACTTTAATTTCTTGGCTCTTCTGCTCACTTCCATGTCCTAGGGTTGAAGACTATCATATCATTGTATTAACAGTTATATAGTAATATTTAATGAGCTTAATGGACTACGCTGGAACATTTATGTTCCATGCTCTGCAAAGACATGCAGTAAGCCACGAAATTTGCTTAGACCTTTCTTTTGCCCGAATCTTTGGTGTACGTCGTAAGGAATAAGTTTTCCAATTTTGCTTTGATTAGCCTCAAATAGCCATCATCGTGGAGCTTTTTTTGAATGCTCTGTTGAGTGATTTTTGACTGCAGTGCTCAGTCAATACGTCCTTACATCTGTAACGAAATCGGCAAAAAAACAATTTCTTGAAGAACTCGTACTTATGGGTGTCTGAATATATTTTTTTTTATCATTTCTAGAATTTCTGCTCCAATTTAGTTCAATTTGAGACTAAATTTTTTCAGTTCCATATTGCTTTTTCGACCGAGTATGAATAAATTGATTTTATGAAAATTGTTAAACCACAGTAAAATTTAAACTTCAGACTGTAACTGCACTTCTCTTCTAACACCTAATCGTAGATGTTACTACACTACACTACAGTACACTAAACTACAGTACACTATACTACGGATTTCTGTAGAACCAATTTCATCGGATCAAGTACAAATTGTTAGGGTTCAGAGGGTTCAGTAGGGGGATCCGCAGAGCTCTTTTTTTTGATACCTGAAAGAGAAAAGAGTCTTATATACAAAGAGATTTATGGACACATTCATAAGGTGTACATGTATAAGCTGTGTTGGATTTCCTTACACAATAACTGGAAGGTGATGGGGAAGTGTGTAATGCATCATATATGTGTGTGAAGCACAATATATTATCTTTAATTTTGCTGATTTTATATGGGTGAATATTTCCTCTATTTTCTTGTAACATAGGTCTTTTCTAATTTGCTAAATAATTTCAGAAAATATTTTTACGTTATTTGATTACAAATTGCAAATTTAATAAAAAGTTCTTTAAGAGTCTAACCTAACCCATCTTCCTTTTGACAACACTGTTGTGACATCGAACTTGACATTTCACTATCACATATATGCGACTCATTTATTTTACTACTCCCGACTTCGTTGTCCACTTAATATAACATTGTTTGATCTGATCTGTTTCTGTTCTTCCATTGTAACGTCACCGGACTGAAACAAAGCTAATTTATGTTTTGTACGTGGTATAGTTGATTCAAGCGGATATGATGTATAACGCAAGCGTTTTCTTTTAAAACCTATTTTTGGAGATAATCTTTACGTGCACTAGCGAAAGTTTGCACTTTCTTACAGTCGAGCGGGAAATCACTTTAAAAATCAAACGGTATTCCAAGCTCGGTTTTCTGTTCCTTGCTCTTAACATTCATTGCTTCGAAGTCTTTATTAAGTTGATTAGGCGCCTGGTTTGGGTCCTCATAATTCTAAGAAAGAAAAAGGAAAGATCTATAAAATTCTAGTCTAATCCTACTCGTTCCTCTGGAAGGCAAAAAACTCCGAACAGTTAAAATGTATTTTAAAAAATAGAATTAATCCTTGACATTTCTGGACATATCAAGTTCTGTCAAAAGTTTTTTTATAGCAAAATATTTAAAATTTTTTCATAACTCAGTTTAATGTATTTATGTATTGAAGACTTTTCAAGTTGTACAAAGACTCCCAAGATTTTTTGAAGTTTGAATATTCTTTGAGAGAACATTTAAATTCATCAAGGGCCCTATTGAGAGCCCTCATAAGTACAAGCGGGTTACAAATATTTCGCTTCAACAAATTTAAGCCAATATTGAAATAATGAATATTATATATTGTGAAGATCGTATATATATATATATATATATGTATGTGGTATATAGTTATGAAGTAAATTAATTTTAAATTACATCAAACATTTCCGATATTAATTCACGCACTTGTTCGATCAATTATTTTTAATATTGTAAACTTATATAAAATATTTTAAGTTCTATATCAGATTTGAACATACTTTAATAAGGTTTAATTCATATATACGTAGTTATATATGTATATTAGGGTGGCCGTAATATGTATGGGGGCAAAAAAATGTGTTGAAATTTCAGATACCACCCCCTAAATTTACTCGAATACTAAGTTTTAGACTAATCGGATAGTGTTTAGAGGTCGCCCATCGACCTGAAACTTAGGAAAAATTCCTTTTTTTTTAACTTTTTTCTTGGACACAAAAGGATACAATATAACATTTGAAGACAATCAAATAGTACCTTAGTGTATTTGATTGTTCACACTTGATTTTATTAATATGCACAAAATTGATTAATAAATATAATGAAAGGGAAGCAATTCTTACGTAATTTATTTAAAAAAAATTATTAAATTTATATGTTATTTGATAAAGCTGTTTTGGTATACTTTTTAAAAGTCCTTCTATAATCTGTTATTTTTTGTAATACATACAGCTGTATTTCCAAATACTCATCATCAGTGGTCTTGGAAATATTTCTTTTATTGAATTATTCGTAAATAATTTTTTGAAACTGCAAGTACCAGGAATCGAACTTTTGCCCCGCCAAAGTTGAAGCTCAGAGTCAGCACTCCTTAACCAACTGACCCAAACTCGTACTTGACTTTTATGTTCGCATATTTTTCTGAAGTTTTGTAAATTTGCTGTGAAAGTTTTAATAAAATAATTACTTGCTGTGTTTATATTAGAACGCCTTACACAAAGTCTCGAACTGGTGTACCAAAGAAGGTCATTTTCCAGAAGGTTCAAATTAAATATTGGGTCGCTATCTATACGGCTATTGAATTCTCCGATGAAGTCAAATATTTAGTCTATAGTGGGTCTCATCCCTCTCCATCTCTTTATTAAAAAGACAGCAGCTATGAGTGCAGCTAGGCTACATCCTGATATCAATATGCACGGAAGTCTCGACAGTCGAAACTCTATCCACAGACTAGTTCCTGGCATAGACATCTGCGATAGGACAGATCGCAAGAACATGGAACTTCGCTTCGGTAGAAAGTTCGAAGTCTTCATACCCGATCGATTGGACTGGGTAAATGGTACTCCTGAATTCGAACCAAAAGTGATATCATGCTACACTGATGGTTCAAGAACCAAAGAAGGAGTTGGTGCTTGAATATTTGGTCCTAACACCAGAATCTAGCTCGCAGCAATCAAAGCATTATGCTCTTGTAAGTTTATCTCAAAGCTTCTAGTAGACTGCTATGACACGTTGCAGCAGCTGGCAAGCAATAATAAAGTGACGCTGTGCTGGGTGCCTGGTCACACAGGAATCAATGGTAATGAGTCTGCCGACAGTCTTGCACGGGCAGGATCTGCCACTCAAATCTGTGGACCAGAACCTTATTGTGGATTAAGTTGGTCTACAACTAGGTCTCTAATCAATAATTGGATTTCAACCGAGAGAAGTCGCTACTGGCGCGACAGTCGAGGTAACTTTCAGGCTAAAGAGCTAGTTCACCCTTATAGTTATAATAAGATATCCTTCTTCAGCAGAAAAGTGCTGAGATTGCTGGTGGGATATCTTACGGGTCACCACGGACTACGTTACCACCTCAATAAAATGGGTCTGTCCGAAGACATAGAGTGCAGACTCTGCTTAAAAGCAGAGGAGACATCCAGCCACATTCTATGTGACTGTCCAGCCTTGATCTGGGCCAATGGCCGACATTTTAAACTTCATTCGGAGGGCGGAATGTCTTCTGTTCGGTTGGGGTCCGTTGTAACACAAAAGACCAATCACAGTCGCAGTGCTCTGCTCAAGCGAGCT